TGTGGGGTATCGAACGATGATGATGATGATGATATTTTGTTTTTTTTCGCGATAAAAGTTATCATTCGAGTGATAATAGACGGGATGATGATAATGATAATAAGGATTTTAATTTGAAAATTTTTTCCCGCTCAAACGAGAAGGAGAAAGTCTTATAAACGAATGATTTTCTTTTTACTTGTGTGTGTGTGTGCGCTTTCATTAAAATTTAAAAGCCCCCCCCCTTTTACCCCCTCAAAAAGGGCATTAACAACAGCGCTAAGTTGATTACGCAAATTTTATCATATAAAAAAAAAAAAAATTAAATAACATTAATTACGTAATAAATTTTATAAGTGAATAAAAGAAGAAGAAGAAGAAAATTATTTATTATTTTAACAATCAGGTCGTAAACACTGACATTTAATCATTATTATCATTATCATCATCATCGTTATCATCATCATTATCATCATCTTTATAACAGGGAAATAAAAAATGACGAGTTTTTGATTATTATTATTATTATTATTATTATTATTATTATTACCATAATTAATAAAAATTATTACGGGGTAATAAAACCTAGAGAAAAAATCTTTTTTTTTTGTTTTCCGTAAGTTAAACATTGTTTGAATTTATTTTCTAAGAAAATTTTTTGGAAAATTTTCCTCGTTGAATTTTCTAATAAGAAAACGTGTCGTCGAACTTTAAACCTTTTTACGAAACTGAGAGAGGTTAAATTAAAAGGGAATTTAATTTACGGGGGGGGAGGGGGCAAAGGTCGTATCAAAAGTTGACCCAAAAAAAAGGGGAGGGAAAAGTATTATTATTATTATTATTTTTTCTTGAAAATGAACCGGTTTTTTCTATTTTTTTTGCAGTCGAAGTCCACGGTCGATATTTTCATTTCTTGCGTGTTGAACTTTTATTTTGATGATGAATCGAAATGACCTTTTTCATTTCAGGTTTAAAATTTAGATTGATAAAAAAAAAAAACCTTTCACTCTTTAAGAAAAAATTTCAGGTTCGTGATTTTTATTAGATGTAAAAATTAATAAAAGGAAAGTTCGTTTAATTATTTAAACCTCCCATACTAAAGTGGGAGGTGGTATGTCTCTCATACCACCCTCCCTCTTCTGTCTTTCCCCTTTCCTCCTCCCCACTTCGGTTTTTTTCTTAACTCGTTAATTAATTTTAACATCGCTTAATGTCATGATTTAAACATTTAGTATGATGAAAGATAGACGAGGAAGAGAGAAGAAGTGGCGGTTGAAAGGGTCGTCATCGAAATGATTATTGAATTATAAAAACTTGAAAAAAATAAATAAATAATGAAAGAGAGAGAGAGAGAGAGAAAGAGAATAAGAATGGTAGAGTGAGAAAGTAATAAAGAACGAAAGAGAGAGAGAGATACAAAAAGAGAAGATATAAAAGAAAACAGAGAGAGAGAGAGAGAGAGAAAGAGTGAGAGAAAGAATAAGAAAGAAAGAAGAATAAAGTGAGAAAGTCATAAAGAACCAGAGAGAAAGGTACAAAAAGAGAAAAGGTGAAAGAAAAGATGAGAGAAAGAGACAAAAAGAGAGAGAGAGAGAGAGAGAGAAAAGATGAACGGGGAAAAAGAGAGAAAGAAAGAGACAAAATCAGAGAGAAAGAGACGAGAAGAGAAAGAGACAAAAAGAGAAAAAGAGAGAGAGAGAGAGACAGGGGAAGAGAGAGAGACGAACGGGAAAATTATTTAAAAATTTTTTTTTCTTTTTTTTGTGTTTTCAGGTACAGTTAATTAAAAATGATAAATAAAATAATTTTATTATCGTCGT